GGGGGGGGGGGGGATTTGAAGAGAAATTGTGTGGATACTTTTTCACTTAGGTCTTCTCTTAGGTCTAGTTCACAAAAATAATGGTTGCTTGACATTGTGATCAGAGATCTGTTAATCATGGTTGGTGTTAGAATTATATCAATGAGAAAACACAAAAAAAAACAAATGAGTACTGTTTTCTTCTCATCAGTGTGTAACTGTGAGTCAGGATAAAGCCCATCTACTTGAACGATGCTCTCTGTTGAAAGTTTGTCTGTACGTGTGTGGATGTGTGTGTCTTTTTATGTGTCTGAGTGTGTGTTGGACAACAGTGCTATAGCTGAGCCCCTCACTGTCCGACCGTTAGTTGAATTTATTTTCATTTTAGTAAACGAGACCCTGTCTGTTTGTAAGATAAAGGGCTCTTTGCAGAGACACACAGTGGTTGTATTTCAACGAAACGTTCTAAAAGGTTTTCAGAGGTGCTGAAAGAGAATATAAGAAGGAACAGGCTAGAGGTTTTTTTTTTTTGTTTTTCATTCACAGTATAAAATAACCTTTATATGGGACAAGCCAAGGAAATAATGTGCTTTTTACCGTATCAGGTTTCTTCACACTCTAAGAAAATAACTTCTCTTTTTTTATTTCACATGTCCTGTGAGATGTTCTTTTAATGGTTTGTACTTCACTAATAACTTAATGAACTGAGAAAACATTCATTTGAAAATGAAGTTCTTTTGTGCAACACTTTGAGTCATGTCATAACACGTCAGGGTTCCCCCGACAGATCAGGAAAATTAAGTGAACCTGATAACATCCAGTTTTTGATGTTTGCAAGGTCCACAGCAGATCTGAAACAATTCAGAAAAACATCTGAAAAACATTTCAAATGCTGTGTCATTTGTTGCTGTGAAGAATTATGTGTAGCTGTGGTGTGATGGAGACTGTAATATCTGTTCACCTGACAGCCACCAAAACATTCACCTCCCAGCCATGAGATAAGTGTCTGGGAAAAAGTATTGAATTATGTAACGGAACATTTGCAGGAATCCCAGGTCTACACAAAGTACAGAACAATATGTCCTTTGATTGGTTGAACGAATGGCTGGAAAACTTAAGTGCAGAGAGCAATAATGTCTTACGTGGATCTGTTGAGTCCGTGTGTTACTGTGGATTTGGAGTAATATCCTCCCTCTGTCTTCTCATATCACTGTTTGAGCTCTCCTCCACACACTGCCCCGCCCCAAGAGTACTGGCATCTCTAGCTGTATTTAAAAATTAAAAATTTAAAAAAAAAGAATAAAGAAAAGTGAAAAAGAAAGCAGATTATGCAATTTCTACACTTGGAGATTTGTACATATGTACAGTTAATGTGTTTTATTTTGATTTTATATTGTTAGAGAAAGAGACGAGAGAAAACAATGAATTGTGAATTTTTCTGGGAATTGTAATTAAGTATTTTTCTCATTCTACCCCTTGCTTTCAATACTTATGTTTAAAAAGACGATTAAATTGTGGACAGTAGCTTTCTTTTTTATATGGGAGTCTTTTTTTATTTAATATTAAACTATTTACAGAAAATGTACCTTTGTGTTGATTTATCTTCTGAGGAGGATGTGAGGAACATCGTGATGCAGTTTGTAGGTATGGGGAATGGTAACTTTCACACACTTTCAGGACTATATTGAACATGGGCATGATATTGTTGCCTACTATGACATAAAATATCAAGATATGTGTTTGACATCTTATAAAAGAAGTCCCATACCTGCACCCTGGTTAAGTTTCTGTAAAGTTAAAGATTTTAAAGAAGAGAACAACAGTTTACTGAAACATTTACATCCCGTTGCAGGTGTGTAAGAGGTCTATATGTTGTTGTTGTCAAATCCCAGTTTATTACTTTAGTGAAAGCAGTTATGTTTGTTTTTCTCAGTTTATCTATAATTATCCTATCTTAAAAACATTTCAAGATTAGATTTAATTGGCAATAAGATTAAGATTATGTCCTAGATTAATAGTCTAGTCCATTTGTGTATTTTGATGCAGATAAATAACCAGAATTTTTCCAAGCATTTACTATTAATAAACAAATGTATGGGATTGTGCAGCCTTGGTGTAGGTAATACTTGTATGAGAAGTAATGTTTTTTCAGTTGTGACATTGTGCTGCATCATCCTGGGCTCATATGACACTATAATGCTCCATCAAGGTGAGGCCTAAACTCATCTTTGAATCGATAATCTCCTCTGCCTTCCCATAATGGTTTCTTATACCTTCCAAGAAATACAGTCAGCCATCGGAGAGGGGCCAAAATATGGCTGTGATGATTAGTCACTGCATCAGTGGGTCTGGCAGCTGCTTTACAGAAAGTAATGCTGTTAGCCTTCATGGCTATGTCCGGATGTGACGCTGCAGCGTGGGCCTCTGGTTTCCGCCCGCCTGTGAGGATGCTGAGCTGTGGGTACCACTTTAAAGAGACGGATGCAGACCACGCCCTTCCTTTACCCGCCGATAGAGGGCGCTGTGGCGACCGGAGCTGGCCGATCATCAGCAGCTTTACCTCACTGCCCTTCCAGCAGCATCTCACCTTCAACCGGCCAGACGCGCATCCACCGCCGCACCCGAACAGGAGAACAGAAAACACACAAGAGAGACAGACGGCGTCAAATAAAGCAAACAGGGGAAATCGAGCAACATCACAGTCGGTTGTTTTAATGATGTAGGGGATCGTTTTGCGGTTTGACATCTAATTTAGTCCGCCTTACTGCGACAAGGAAACACCATCCAGCTGCGCATACATAAATAGCAGCCAGTCTCAGCTTGTCAGGATAAAACCGTGCAACCTCTCCACCGTCCATACAGTCCTCTCGACGAAGGAAGGACGGAGTCACTGCGCACCCCGCGTCGTTTATTTTGACGGTCAGATCAGGCCCCCTGCTCGCCTCCAGCCTCAGCAGCATCTTCCCTTTGAGCAGCAAGAAAGCAGCATCCGTCCTCCTCCTTGAATCTGCGCAATGGCCGATGTCCCAGCGGAGTGCAATATAAAAGTGCTGTGTCGCTTTCGCCCTCTCAACCAGTCGGAGATTGTACGCGGGGACCAGTTTATCCCCAAATTCCAAGGAGACGACACTGTCGTCGTCGGGGTGAGTAAAGGGAGGCGCTTTGTTGTGCATCTAGGCCCTTCATCAATAAATCATCCGCTCGACCCAAACCCTCTGTTTGGGTTGTGGATAAACAGGAAAACAGGAAGGATGATCATTGGTGCAGCGCAGGGAAACATCGCACCTTTCCGCCTCAGTCTGCCTTTCCCTTAACACGACTAAACACAAATGCGTGTAATGTTGTCAAAGTGCGCAAACTGGCCTCGCATCCACTCAGTAAGGTCTTCCCTGTGTGGCCTATGAATGAAACACAGGCAGCCTAAAACCTTATAGTAATTAAACTTAGATAGAAGATAGAGATGCTAAGATTAGGACTACATATTTTAAACTGTATTTTTCTATAGTCTATATCAGTCAGTATATGAGTAATCCTGATGATTCATAGCATAAATCAAATACAACCCTCTTGTTAATAAATAGATGAATGTAAAGTGTTTTCCACACTTATATTGATGGGTTCTTTCATTCACTCTGGGTGCCTAATTAACCTCTCCCTGAGGCTGCCATGTAGGGTGGGTTCATTACTCAGCAGGTGCCAGCAGCAGATAATATGGTGCAGAGGTGAAGTCTGGTCTTTGTAGTAGTTTGGAGATCTTGGGGCTAATGAGTGGGCTAGACCAAAATCTGATGATGCTGCATATCTTGTTTACTCTGAAGATTCGTTGTTGGTGTGGTTTTATAAGGATTGAAACACCAATTGTAATGCTAGTAATATGTAATAGCTGGATATATCCAAAGGCTGCAAAACATTGACATCTTATTGCATTTTTCTTCATTAACTGAATCATAAAAAAACGTTTCTGTGTAGCTTTCTCCAGCGTCAGTTTATAATACAGGAACCGTTGTTCTGAATTTAGAGTGCCGCAGTTTGACTTATTCACTAAATTTTTAGACTTTTATTACTTGATTTGATAAAATACAGTTATATATTTTTACCATTTCAAGACTAGTGACTTGACTGTTACTTTGTGGTTCATATTTACATTTGAAATTTAGATAAATTAATTTGAATTGTTCTCATTACTGGAAGCCAAAATCAGCTACCTCCATTGTAAAGGCCAAATGAAAGGCCAAATGCTTTTAATTCTGTTTCATTGAATTATTTAATACTATTAACTATAGTATCCATTATGAACTGTGGCTCCCCAGCATTGTAACAAAATGTTATCAATTCCAGTTGCATTTTTCAGAATCAGAATCAGAAATACTTTAATAATCCCAGGGGGAAATTATTTTTGTTACAAACTCCAGATATACAAACAACATATAATATACAAGCAACATCTATTAAGAACACAATCTAAATATATATATATATATATGTACAACCAACGTAACAGGCAGCATGCAGCTTTCGCGCATGCGCACTATAAATGTTTGTTCACGTATGTAGCTTTTTCCCCCTCTTTAGATGTTTAAAGAAACATGAAGACTACGTGGATAATTAAAAGGGGAAGAATAGTTAGCTTTGGTTAATATCTGGTGTGTAGAGGGAGGAACCATGTTGAAACTTTCTCCAGCAGTAATCTTGACCTGACCTTCCTCTCTCCTCTCAGCATGACGATGGACACTAGAGTCAGAAACTGATCTCTCTAATTGCCTACAGAGAGGATCAATAATCATCCAGTGAGCTCATGCATCACTGACTGACCTGCTTTCTCTTGTCTCTGGCTCCATCAGTCTGCCTGTCTGTCTTTCTTTCTGTCTCGCTCTGTTTTTTCTTTCTTCTTTCTCTGTTTTGTGCCTCGTTGGCTCTCTCCCTTGTCTCTCCTTTGCTCATCAATCTCCATTTTTATGTCTCTTTCTGTGCGTCCTCTGTCCCTCCCTCCGTCCTCTAGGGACTGAATGTCTCTCTCTGGTAAATCACTCTGTCATGGGGCGGCTTGCAGATGAGTCAATTTGTTAATGACATTTAATACGGCTGTTCTGGCAGCTCACGTTATTGTGTTGCATTGTGGCCGCTGTATCAGGTGGGACGGTGACATTCAGGGGTTTAATGGCCTGGTTTCTGCAGTGAGGCTTGTCAGGGCTGAGTCACCAGACTGTGTGTCATACAATGGTTGGTTGTATTTTGAAAGAATGATTTATTTTAGGGGCCACATTTTGAAATAAATACATTACTGTGCATTTAATGAAAAGTGGCCCTAAATAAATGT